CCGTCCATTGAAGATGGGGTAGGCAGCCGCCCGCCCCCCCCCGAGGAAACATATGGTAGATGATAGCAGAGCATGTGTTGGGCACGTACCTGTACTTGTAGGGGAAAGCATGTCGTCACCCCATATGGACGCGAAACGGATGAACAGACCCGAAGTCGGGAGGGCTGTAGAGTCGCGATGATCATCAGGGGGTGCGGGACAAAAATCGTAATACGTATTCTTCGTCCTCCTCCCTCCGGGACGCACAATGGTAGGCTGATACCTCCTTACCCCTGTTATTGATATATTTGGTAGTCCCAGGCGATGCTGGTGGACAAACCCCCTTCATCGTGGGGGCAAAACAGCTCAAGAGAGCCACAGTGCAGATTGGGTCATTCCAAAAGTGCTTTTTTCGTTGTGGTTGCATCCCCGCACAGATTAGTCTAGACGATGTGATGTAAACAGAACCCGACCGGCCCAAGTTCACAAATGCAGTCTAATACACGCCCTCCTTCAGCGTACGCACTAGTGGTGCGACGATGCTCGTAGCAAAATGAACACACACACGTAGCTTGCTCACCTGTACTCGTACGATCCATCTACGTAGGCGCTGGAGTAGACGATGCTGTTCATTGGCGAGCTGGTGTGATGGAAAAGGAGACAGCAGGCGAAAAGATCGCAGGAAATCGCTACAACAGCAAGTACTCTGGTTGTACCAGCAGCGTGTTTCGCCACGCCTACGAGCCGAAATTCACACAAGCGAGATTGAGCGACGACATCAATATCAACACTCATATTTTTGTTATCTGTACGGTCATTGGCGCCTTCATTAATGGTCAAATCCTTCCATCTTCGCCAACGGTCCTCATTCATTACACAACCAGTCTCCGTCAATCCTTCCTGAACTACAGTACAGCGTCTAACGTCATTCTCGCTAACTGCCTTCCTTCCCTTTCCCGCGTCCCTTGATCTTGGTCTGCACTGTGTTACAACACACGTACAATGTTATCCTACCACCAAGCTACCACGTACAAAGTTGCAGACCTTTCCGGCCCTCGTCCGCCGTACTCATCGGGCCCCGCCGCCCATTGAAGGGGGTGGAGCCTTTTATTGCGCTACAGCTTACATAAAGAATAACTATCCCTTCGAGATAACACCATAGTGTCCAAGTCTTCGGAGTGAATGGGAATGGAGGCTGGGCTAATACTTAGTCCTTCATATATCGTTCGTGGATGACGTATAGGATGACGCATAGGCCCTTCCTTTCGACACGCTGTTGAGTCTATCTTCGTGGGGACATGTCCATATGGTGACCTGGTCTCTCACACTACTGGAAGTTTTGATAATTCGCCCATGGGCAGCCCATGGGCGGGATGCCCATGGGCACTTCATGTGCTGCCCACGAGCTGCCCAAGGGCAGAAAATGAAGTGCCCATGTGAGCATCGCATGGGCTGCCCATCGTGCGTGCTCACAAAGATGCCCAAAAAGGCCTGTAAGGCTACCCTTACAACAGCCCCCATCACCTACTCGGGCCGAAGGAGTGAAATCGGAGGTTCCTGTTGCATTCTGTCTCCACACGGAGGATCATTTTACGTGAGTATTGGATTGGATGAGGCCTCCTGCGCGGGACCATTGTCCCGACCATCCTTCGTTCCATTCGTTGGCTGTACATAATTTGACCACTCGTCCGGTGCGAGATCATCTCACCTAACTTCTTTAATGCACGTGATAAACATCGGCCTCAATGAAAACGCACACGAGGCGAATTCTTACTGGGAAGCTGCCAGTATGGCAAAACATCGGCGTAGCGCTGGGTGCAGAACCCCTTGCCACATTTGCACACACCAACCCCCGATATCCAGGACCTGATACAATTTCCGCTCCTACCATGGGTTGACCGAGGGGACCTCCAAACGAAAGGGATACCCTGCACCTTGATTGGAGGTCCGCAGAACAAGGAAGGTCTCCCGACTTGCCTTCCGAACAAGTACCCGATGGTCAGGTCCTAACCGACGTGCTGAGCGGCCGCCACGTACGTCGTGACCACACGAAATACGCGAAAGCTCGGATAGGCATGGTCTGCCAGCCCAACCACCGCCCCGCTAGATGCCCGAACTTGACCAAACTAGTGACCAATCAGGCCATGAATCTCCGGAGGATCTGCCTCAATGTAGAGGACAGGTAGACAACCCGGTCAATCAAAAATGATAAACTGATTTCAAGTAGACGATTACATCGCTACATAGTCTGAGCGAGGCGCGACCGCGTGCCACGCCAAGCGGCGACCATCGCGGCGCGCCAACGCGAGACTCGGCTGTCTCTGCGTACTTCTGGCACGAAACAAAGTGAAGTAATTATCTCGTTACGGGTGGAGCAGGCTCTACCGCGGGTCGTCCGTCTGGCGGACGTTGTCCCATGTGCACTGCTGAAGGAATGCAGCAAACACCCTATGATGCGGAGAGTGCAAAGCGATGTTGACCGAAGCTGCCACAGGGGCCACCCCGATCGATCGTGCGGTCGTAAGCTGTCTACAACAGACTAAACCCGAACGCCTAGATTACAGGCACGAGAACAACTGCATGAACCTTGGGAACCTCCAAATACCGCGCCACGCGACCAGCCACAGTCAGGAGGGGGGGCGGCACGAGTCGTAAAAGTAATAGTAGATTAGCAAACGACATGAAATGCCGGAACGTTGGACCCAGGGTAACCCGGAATCCTCTCGTGCACACGGATATGCTCGGGGTCATCGACACCTCGGCAGCAGCGCACTGTGTTGGGTAGGGTGTACGTGGTTACTCCCGAGAAATAAATGGATCGCCCCGGGTGTCAGTAGTGATGGGGCACGAAGAAAACCGTCATAGTCATAAACGTAATCCGGGCAAGGGGGACCTCAGAAAAGGGCTTGCGAATAGTTACGGCGTAAGTATTACCGTAGAAAGGAAAAGCCCGCGAAAGCGTTGGTACGCACCGGAAAAAATCGATTGGATAGGGGGTAGGGGGGGGGCGTCCCCCGGTACAAAGCAGTGCTAAATACGCTTATGAGCACACTTCGAAAAGATGTTGAGTAATCATCGGGCCGTCGAGCAACAATGACGATTGCACAGACACAACTCCGGGCTTTCTACGTACGGCAACCGAAAAAACCAAGGTTGCGAAGTTTCCCCCAGGAAAATACGTACGGCAACCGAAAAAACCAAGGTTGCGAAGTTTCCCCCAGGAATCGATCGTATTTCGCCCCTCCTATTTCGATTCCCGACCAGGGGGGAGGTTGGTTCAAAAAAGAAACGTCCTCGCCGCGGTTGAAAACCTGGAACGATGACGGTGTTCAACTCACTGAAAGAAGGGTATTGATCACTAACGACAACTACGCCATCTTTGGAGACTGAATACATTAATCTGAGCCGCGCGTCCTTGAAAGTCAACCGGGCCCAACAAGTTGTAGGTATCATATCTGTCGCGTCACGGCTAAGCATAACATGCTTCATCCAACGTCAACTTCACCCTCCCCCGTCTCGCCGACAAGCATGGTTTTCCCGCGGTACAATAAATAAAAGAAATGGCTGATCGATAATGTCTCAGCGATTTTTATGCCCAGTGACAATTGTACGCCTGTTTTGCACGAATCCCCATAGCACAGCTTCAGGTACCCACTATGTTTTCGTGTGTCATTGGTGCCTGGAGACACACGTTCGTACGTTCGCACCTGCCTTAGGTCAGCCGGCTGTGTAGGTAGGCACTTGAGAACAACATCCACGAAGTGACCGGCACGAGGAGAAATTACCATGATTCGAAACAACGGGATAGGATGTGTCGCCGAGCAGTCGAACGAGCTACAAGACTCCCGTAAAATGAAAGTTTGTTGTCGAAGACCGTAGTTTATTGTGCACGGAAGAATTCGAAACATCTCCCAGATCTACGTTTTATTTGGGTTCTTGCTGTGTCGCCGTGGAGGCGTGTTGGTTGGGTTGTCTTCGATTGGTTTTCTGGGGTTACGAAGAGAAAGGTCTCACGGAGTTCTCATTCTGCTGCCTCGCTGCTCCTGCAGCAAGAGTTCGATAGACGCGTATCTACTGGACCAAGGGCCACGTGTTGAGGATGGCACAGTGTGAAACACGCAGCCCGCGTCGGATGGTCAGGCGAGAAGGAGGGCAGCAGCTAGCTACATCGAAGTTTGGACCTGGCTAGCAGAAATTCGTAGCTATTCTCGAGGGGCTGCGAGACGCGGGCAGGATGATGATGGAACACGCTCGGCTGGAGCGCCCAGCCGTGGAACTACGAGGGGACTACTACCTACTCTGGGGGCTTGACAACCCGCGTGGTAGGTGTTTTCGTGTCAAATCTCATCAAGGGCTGGCTAATCACATCTCATCCACCGCCATCGTTATCAAAGAGGAACGCACACATGGTAGAGAGAACAAAATGATGAAGCAGGTACTCGGCTTCCTTCGGGATGGCGATAGAGCAAACTCCAGCGAAACGATTTCACCACTGTATCAAAAAGGCTGACGAGCCTGAGAAGAGGTAGATAAAACACGCAGTCCACGGCGGCATGTGCTCGTCGGCGCCGTGCATCTCCTGGCTTGAACGAGGAGGCAACACAACATTTGTCGACTCCCACATTCAAATATACCACCACANCCAGCCGTGGAACTACGAGGGGACTACTACCTACTCTGGGGGCTTGACAACCCGCGTGGTAGGTGTTTTCGTGTCAAATCTCATCAAGGGCTGGCTAATCACATCTCATCCACCGCCATCGTTATCAAAGAGGAACGCACACATGGTAGAGAGAACAAAATGATGAAGCAGGTACTCGGCTTCCTTCGGGATGGCGATAGAGCAAACTCCAGCGAAACGATTTCACCACTGTATCAAAAAGGCTGACGAGCCTGAGAAGAGGTAGATAAAACACGCAGTCCACGGCGGCATGTGCTCGTCGGCGCCGTGCATCTCCTGGCTTGAACGAGGAGGCAACACAACATTTGTCGACTCCCACATTCAAATATACCACCACAGGTGGCCAATGGGCACGGTTGTACGGGGGCGTTGTGTAACCTCCGGCCAACGAGGGGCTATTACATGGAATAACGTGGGGGGGTTACAGGCCAAGCGGACATAACGTGCCGGGTTATGAAAGCGGTTATACGCGTATTGGTTTTAGGAGGAGAAAAGAAAAATAAATGTGTGAGATTTACCCTCCCTTCCATTGAATTTTACTCTACGGTTGAGTTAATCAAGCGATACATCGGCAGAAAACTTTCCTCTCTATCGAGATGACTAGCGCAGGATGGAAACATGGCGCGGGGGGGATTGAATCAGCAATCTGTACCTACAGATTTCAATGGTACACCGCTACGCTATATGTTGAAGCCTATCATGTCTTGCTCGCAAATTCCATGAATCTATAGTGATGAGGGGGGGTGGGGGTGTACTCATAGTCGTGCATGCCGTAGTCGTTAGACCATTGACCTCGCATCCCTACAAAGCCGGGACGGAGCACGCCGGGTTCTCACCGGACCAGGCTCTCACATCACCAAGCGCGAAGCGCCGTGAGATATTCGGNAGGGTGTTCGGCATCTTGTGCTTACTTCCTTGCATACGAATGACAGCTGCGGATGACTTAATGTATTTCCTGGTGCTTTCACATCCAGAGACAGTTGTAAGCACTGTGTAACTGCCTCGAGGGTGCTTGACCATTTTAACACAACGTGGTGCGATCATCCCCCTTGCGCGGAGTGAGGCTTCTCCACCCCGCACAACATGATCTACTCGACCACCATTCATTATGGTTACCGCCAAAAAAAATAGCAGACGTAAAAAAAAAAAACGGTAACCTGGTTGCCGAGTTCACGAAGTGAATTGGCTTGTTTTACAACGTCGTTGCCAAGCGACGAAAACCCAATCCCAATGGCAAACACCGAGGGGGGGAGTGATGGGGGCGGGAACAATTGTGGTAACACCACCCATGCGGTCGATAAGAGCACACTTACTCTGCCGTCCCCCACACGCAATAAGCAGAAGAAACTCTTAAGTAATATCTTCCATTACCAATTTATTTAATTATTTTTTTATTTTTTTGCCTTCCGACAATTGCAGATGTACCTCAGAAAACTTTCACCTAATGTCTCATGCGCTACATGAATATTTAACCAATGCGAAGTACAACAACAAACGTAGGACTTTTTTCTACTGTCACTTACATCGTAAAAACATCTCCTCTTCAACTTGAAATATAACCAATGACAATCCTCATGGTATCCTATACATATGCGTTCGTAAACTTGTTAAAATACTACTGCGTTGATGTCCTCTTGTAAAAGATGAAATCCAACAAATGCTCTGATTCATGCTACTTATCGTTCGATGGCAAGTTTTTGGTCAGCTAAGGTTTTATGATCCACAGCAGCAACAACATGTATACCAAGTACATAATTATTTGATGCTGAGCACGCAATTCTTTTCAGTAGAGATTTTTATATAATAGTACAATGTTCGACCACTATTATTACATATTTTTAGGAGACAGACGTACGCACGTACGTACGTATGTCAGCGATATTTCGCTGTGCACTAGCAGCAGTACGATGCTGCAGATGCCAGGAGGTTGTGTAGCCTACCACACTCAGAGGTTCACACACTGTGCGTCTCCAACCGCGAGAGACTTGGAATGAAAATATGAAGATTCTTTTTTTAGTTGCTGCCTCCCGAGTCAGATGTTGCTGGTACTGAAGAGGAGTGAGAGGAGTGGGCGAGCTTAGGGCTGCACCACTTTTCTCGAATACCGGACGAATAAGCCAATCACACGAAAGATCCAGAATGCTTCCAGAATGATTTCTGGAAGCCCTCCTACGTTCTAGAAGAGTATCCACTACAACCTAGATCTAGAACGCTTCCAGAAGCTTACAGAAGGAACCAGAAGTTTCCACAAAGGCTTTCAGAAGCTACAGAGGGAACCAGAAGTTTCCAGAAGGCTTCCAGAAGCTACACACGTTCTACGTAGATGTCCCGGTCAACCTTGACCTAGCATGCTTCCGGAATACTTCTAGAACAAGAGAATACATGCCAAGGAGAGATGGATTCTTTTCTACTGCTACGCAGACTAGTTGCTGCAATCGTATTCAAAGGTCAAACCGTGTCCGACTTCTGGTGGTCTCGACGCACGATTTTCCTGACACGACCCCTCGATCAAGCAACTAATTCACAATGGTCGACGGCATCACCATATCCTTGTCTACCTCGACCCCTCCGTTGGCACCGTATCGAAAATAAATTCCTTCTGGTATGGAAGGGAGCTTCACAGATCTTCGATCAACACGAGAAGTCCTTAATCTGCTGAATGATGGAGGCGAGTCGGTGCTTTGGGAGGTACTTGGTCGCGATATCAGCCAACTGGTGCTCGCTGGGCCGGTGGTGAAGAGTGATTTGTCCCCGTAGTACTAGCTCCCGGATGAAAAAGTACCACAGGGCCACGTGCTTCGTGCGTTGAGAGTGCATTGCATTCCCGGCCACTGTCAGCGCTCCGGTGCTGTCGCTGTTGATGGGAACCGATCCGAAGGTCTTGAAGTTGAGTTCCGTCATAAAATTTGAGATGTAGACCGCCTCTCTGGCTGAGTAGCTATGTGCTTAAATCTCGGCTTCGACCGTGCTTTGCGCGGTTAGAGTTTGAGTCTTCGCACCGTAGCTGATGAGTCCTCCAGCCAG